CAAAATGCACACTTCTAAACACTGACAGGCACTACAGCACTAGAACTTGGAAAAAAACCCAAAGGTAAGCACATCTGCAGTTGAGGGAATGAGCTATTGAATAATGTAGGCAAGGCATAATGATATAACGGGAATGTTTTTATTTTTAAAATATTCTGATCGTTATTTAAATCCAGTTTTTGTACCGGGCTAAACATTATAGGTCTTTTTAAATTGCCTTTTTTCTTCTCAAAATAGTGCCTCAATTGTTTTTATGTTTCAGATTATTATTATATGAGTGAATACAGTTAACACTTAAAGAGTACATTTGGGAGTATCCCTTTTATTTAAAAAATTCTTAATTTATAGCTAGGCATGACAGGACACATCTCTGGTCTCAAAATAACTTGGAGGATAAGGCAGGATTGTTTGAACCCAGGAGTTTCAGATCATTCTGAACAACAGAGAGAGACCCTGTCCCCAAACCCCCCCAAATTTAATTTCAATTATTGTAATTTGAAAACAAATGGTTCATTTTCTATGAATTAAAGCAGCAACCGTAAAAATAAAATGCAACATTTTTGAGAAGGGAATCCCCAGAATCCAATAATGTGATGATTATGTCATTCCTTCAACTGCTAGACACAAAAGACACAGCAACAAAATAATTTGATTTCCATCACTAACAAATAACACCTGTATACAGAAATAAAGCTTTGAAACCACGCAGTTTTATGACAGATAAATCTTTAGGTTGTGTGTTTAGGAGGAAAAAGCTTACATAATAGTTATGTTACTTTTAGATCTTGTTACAAAGGTATTTTTAACAAAATAACATGATGTAGATGACTAGTAAGGATTTCTTTCATTTTCTGAAGAGTTGTAGCTTACTTCATAATGATGCATGCTTATTTTAGGTATATTAATTGAGGAAGTGTTCTATATAAAGTTAAAATTTCCTGGAATACTCCAGCTTTTAAGTATTAATGAGAAATTTCTTACAGGCAAGGATAAATTGAGGAGCTGGAAACTACACGAATTAGTCAACTAAATCTTAATTAGTTATTTTTCAGAATCACATGTCTTTGTTATACTGGAGGCCCTGATTGGTTTTACTTATTTAAACTGTCAGTATGTTTAACACATTCCCTCTGGCTTGTACCACCTGATAGGACTGTTCCATGCCACCTGAGGGGACAGTTGTGCATGTATCACTGGTGCTCTACAGCCAGTCAGCAGCAGCAATGGATTATGGCCCCGTCATCAATGTGTTAAGCTCCAAAGAGTGTGAGCCAAGGACTATCATTCCTATTTTGTAGATGATTCTGGTTGACTTAAAATCTCAAATCTCAATCTGGCAATGTAACTCAGTGGTGAAGCACTTGCCTAACATGCATGAGGTCCTAGGTTCAATCCCCAGTATTGCAAAAAAAACCAAATTTCCTCTCTACTCACTTTATGAGAATATATTCTTGTGGGTTACAGATTCACCAGAAAATCCGAACACAAGGAAATGGGTTACATTGGAAAATTCTATTGGTGACAATTTTGAAGTTAGGAGTTCCTAACTACACAATGAAAGAATGTATATCAATGGATATGCCGGTCAGATTGTGAGGCTCTTTGTTACATCATGGACACTACTGGGTGATTATGAGCTTGATGGGTGAAAAAAAGAGAGAAGCTTTTAGCCAACTGGCCCTGAGGACAACTGTAAGGCTTGGATTGCTTTCTGGCTCTGTCTGTCTGTCTGTCTGGTCTGTCTCTGGGAGTGTAACTAAGGGCCTGACACATGCTGAGAAATACTGAGCCACACCCTTTAGCCCTATATTTGTCTCAGAGAGCTAGAAAATAGATAGCAATTCCGCAACACTAGCTCTTCTAACACCAGAATGCTGCCCTTTTCTGGAGCAAGAGCTATATTCCCCAAGGCCTCCAAGTACCTGTGGTGATCTATCCTGGAATCTTTCTAACCTCAACCCTTCCTAGGACTCAATGTTTGGGGGCAAGAAAGTTCCATGGCTATCTGTAGGTGGTGTGGAGCTAAAACAGGCAGAGGCAGTCAGATAGAAACTTTCCCTTTCAGCTCCTATTATCATGTAAGATTTTGGCTGGCTTTCTTCTGTTTCATTTAAACAGAACATTGAGAGGCTCAAGTGGCACAGTGAAGTAGTACTTTGTAATCTGGTAAAGGGAGGTCAGAAAATAGCTTCCACTGAACAAGTACAATGTAAATAAAGCTGTTGCTAAAGTTGTGCCAGGAGTAGGTTTTCTTCCTTGAAGGGAACAACCTGCCCTAAACCGGCCACACTTAACTAGGAAATAAAATCTTGCAATGCTTGCCAATTTGTTTTGGGGTTCTGGATCTTAAAGGAGGAATGGAGGTCAACATTCATATCTTAAATGTCACTTGAATCCATATAAATTGATATACATGCTAGCTGATTACATAACAATAATTTTTTGTGAAAGATAAAATCTGAATTGATCATAACGAAAACAACTATCTTTCGATTTACAGAGTGTTTTGCTGCTTGTATTCATTGAAAAAAGAAAACTTCTGCCACAAACAACCTACCTGGGATGTGTGTGTATGTGTCCGCGCGCGTGTGTTTGTGTGTGTGCGTAAAGTAGGGATTCACTTAAAAAGCAAAAGCAAACAATCTTTGCTAGTGGTCTTGCTAAGAGAAGTACTACTACAATTGTTCATTGTCGTTAGCTAACAGTGACCTGTTACCTGTCACGAGCTTTCTCTTCTGGTAAGATGTAGCTAACTAGAAAGCCTCCACAACAGCAAATGCTTTATTTAAGTGTTAGAGCAAAAAGAAAAAAAAATCTCCTTTTCAAAACCTTAGGAATAACTTTCTCTTACTGACTTTTCCACTATTTATCACAGTCTTCATATATTAAAAAAAAAAAAGCTCCAAAGATTGCTTTCATGGACTATGTACACAAGTGCAAAAAAGGTGTGTCTCACACATTCGCACCCTAACTGAGACAATCAGGTAACTGCAGCATTTGTCTCTAAACACTGTTCAGGGGTCGTTCCACAGTATCTTTATATATGGTTTTGCAAATATGAATTAATTTCAAAATATGTTTAATCATGTTTCAATCCTCACGCTTAGTTGTGTACATAATTTCAGAAAAAAAGAATTTTTGAAACTACAGATACATAAACAAGTTATGAAAAAGTCAAGTGATATATATATATATATATATGCGCACACACACAAATATATATATGTAATGATTGTGTTTTGAAGTCAAAATACTGTGGAATAACCCTATGCACACAACAAAATCTATAAACTACAAAGCCAGCCTCCAAAATCCACGTGTTGTAAACTTTTTGACCAAAAAGTCACAGGACACAAATTCAGCTTTCACATGTGACTTGTGACTTAGGGATTAAAATATTCAACCATATCTGTTTTCTGAGTTTTGAGCTGTATTATCTACATGCTCATACTGTCACAAAGCACAAATAGTTTACAAATAAAAGTTACACACACACACACACACACACACACACAAATGTCTAAAGGTAGCCATGTTGTAGTTTTGTTGCCAAAGCAACAACTAGTTAACCATTATTATTTTTTGTATAAAGTTAAATTTGTTCTTAAACTGTGAACTGTAGAGAGTAGTTATGTATGGACTGTCATCTATATCATGCTTTAGTGTCAGTTTAGAACCTATCTAGGTAGGCTGAATATATGTAGTAAAATAAAACTTAAAAACTTTCTCTAACTCTCCTTCAAAATTAAATTCTTGAATTCATTAGTTACTTAGAGATATAAAAAGTCATAAAGTAAAAACCTTATAATCTAAGAATAAGAAAAATGAAAAGATGGCATCAATCAGTGAGTTGGTGCTCAGACTCTAGATTTGGTTATATTTACAATTTGATTAGGCTAGCAACTTAATTGGCAAAAATTTTTGGTATGCTCTTTTACATGCTGATTATTCTACTGCCTTCAGCAGGCACTGATAAAATTAGGCCACTATCACTATTCTTAATCAGAACTTGGGAAATATATTTCCCCCATAAATTTTCTTTATTTCTATTTCAATGTATGTAAAATGGATGAGAGATAAGAATGAGTACTTCAGTTTCTAATCATTCTGTGCATGACTGCCCACCCTAAAGACTGAAAGAACTCACAAAACATGTGGCTGTGCTTTACCTAAGTGCAACCTCACTGAACCCAAAAAGGGAGAAAAAGGACCCGATAACATTCCAAGAAGCCCCGAGCCTTTCCCTCTTCTCTTGAAAACATGTAACATAAATGTTGTTCCTTATTAGACATCATTATGCTTACTGGTCAGGCCACTAAAAAGTGATTCAAGGTGTGATTTCATTTGGTACCTGCTGATGGCAGGGATGAGGTGTTGGCATCTTCCCAAATTGGAGAGTAGGTGCGCTGAGGCGGCCCACTACTGAACACAGCCTTGCACTGTAGGACAATATTCAAGGCCAGAGCAAATTGCTTTTAGCATGATCAGAAACTGATGGAAATGACTTGATGGAATAGGGAGAAGATGGCTTTTATGATTAGCCACAAATTAAAGTCTAATCTAGAAAAGTGAAATGAAATGCAACAGCTGGTTGTGGAATCATGCTCCAATTGAAAAAGTAAATACTGTATTTAAATAGCAATTTTTATGAATCCATTTATCTTAATTTATTCTTAATCCTCTTTAAAATATACTTTCATTATGGTCACATAGTGCTTTTTGTAAAAAATCGATACTATTAAAACCTTCTTAAAAGATAACTTGTAGATTATTTTTCTGTATATAAGACCCGTTTTATTCACGTTTCAGCACTCTTGCATATTTTTGCAATAGGCTGAGAAAAATGGACAAAATCAGCAATTTTGGATAAATAAAAAGAGTCCCTTGCAAAATACAGAGTATAAAATGTTAACTAAGAATTATACTTGATTAGAATTTTATATATACAATTCATCCAGTAAATTCTTGCTTAGAGTCACTGATTAGCTTGTGACTTGTCTTTTTAACTGGAAATTTATAGTCTAATGACTTATTGGTCTAGTCTTTTCTTGAATAAAGATAATTTGAATAAGTCATTGCACAACTCATTTAAAGAGTGCTGTCTTAAAATTTCATTTCCTCAAAACTCTGTTGAATTTGATCAAAACTTTAGGGCTTTGAGCTTTGTTTCCTTAAATTCATTTATATAGCAACTTCTAAAATGTCAACAATGTAGAAAATGGTGGCATCCAAAATACAACTACCCTGAATGTTCCTCGCTCAATCTTTTACTAAAAATAAGTCATTATTAATGTCTTCCAGTGCTTACAGCAACATGAAAATAGCTGTACTTTACGTCTATGTACATCTTTGTCAAAAGTTTAAAAAGTTAAATGAGATAGTATGTTGCATCAAAAATGTCAAAAAAGTTCGTCTGCACAAAAAAACATTCCCATCACCATTAGGAATACATCTAGACTATCTCAGGTGCATCCTTTCTGGATTCATGTGGTCAGACCTGCCCTTCTGGAGAGTCACTGACACAGTTACAGAAAACTCAGCTCCACACACAAGGTGTCTCCAAAAGGCATACCCTAGTTTCTTCTCTAGCAATGTTAAGATGTCAGGAAAGAGAAAACAAGTGGTTCAAAGAGTCATGGGTAAAATAACACATCTTGATCTCTAACTGCAGGTAACACTGTTAACAGACAACAGTGGCTCAATACAAGTAAGACTGTTTAGAAATCACAGGTAAGCAGGATTTGGGTTCATAATTAAGACTAATAGGATAGCAACTACTGGAGATAATTTTACTCTTTTGTATTCTGAGCCAAACCGATCTGCTTTGAGACTCAGTCTCAAAGGCTCTGAAGCACATCATGAAAAGGATTTACAATTGGAGTCTGGAGATGGTTCTGGGTGTCACAATGGATACTTAGTTTTGCAGAAGTCACATAGGCTCGAGTTTAAGTTTTATCAACTATGAAAAGATTTTGCTGATTCCTTTGCTTTTTAATTCAAACCTACCAGCTGGCTTAAGGTATCCTAAATCAGATTTTTCCTTTTGCTGGTCATTTTCATGAAGGAGGAAAAAAACCCTTTTCTCTATATTAAATTTGATAGCTTTATATTTTCTAGGGGGAGAACATACATTTAGTAGAAAATGTTAAATTTAAGTGGGTATAAAATATAATATGTTTTTACCACTGTAAAATAACTGAGTAGAATGGAGATATACTATAGAGCACAGAAATTAATTGCTATTTTACTCATCTACTAATGAGAATTCAGCTCACCTCTGTGGAATACAGTCACTCTAAATTAACCAAAGAGTATTAATCTACCCTATTTTAAACAAATATAAAGGTAAATGAATCTAAACAAAGGAAAATAAGAGGCTTAGTTTTGATGCAAAAGATTCTGATGTTAAAGTTCGGGCAGGAAAACACTTGTCATGTATCACAGGCACTTGGTCCTTCACCAAAATGTTTAACAAAATTGCCAATTCAGTTAAACTGAAGTGCAAGACAGGTGCGACATCTTTACCAGTTCTTTTGCATAAATCAAAGGGTAAATTTTAAATACTTTCCTGGCCCCGACCCTGCCATTTCCCCAAATCTGTACTCAGGCTCCCTCTGTGATCAATAGAGAAGATTGTCCATTTGAAGAGGAAAGGCCTCATTTGGAACTAATTCTCTTTCACCCTGACTGACTTGTGCTAGATTGCATCTTATTATTTAAAGAATAGCCTAAGAACTTGAGCCATTTGCATTTGGAAAATAGCACTTGTGTAAAAGGTTACATTGCAATGGTTTTACACACTTTCCGCCGGTATGTAAAAACTATCTCTACCTCCGCCACCTCTGTTTGATTTATAACCTGCAATTAGCATTCCTTTCAACCCCCAAGTACCACTTTCTCAGCTGAAGATGACAAATGGCTCAATTTTAGACACTCAACCTATGCAGAGTATTCTTGAGAATAAAAAAAGAAATGTAATGTTTACTTTACATAATTTTTAGTAAATATGCTGAAAAAAATCATTAAACAGTGAATTGTTTTTCAAGCTATTTAAGAGGAGTGTATTAGGGGTTAATGTTTTAAGAAGTTTCCTACTTCATGTGGCTAATCGTTTCTCTCTTAAAGAAAATCAGTAACTTTAGTGAATTACACAGGTTAGATCTGCAGCCACAAATTATACACATGCATGTTTATGAACAGGTTTTGTGCACACTCAAACGTGAGGCGTTATACATGTTTCCCCCAAGAAAACTACAGAAATATTCTAAAGAGAGCATATTAACATGAACCTGTCATGTTTTTCAAGCACATAGACTTCTGTTCCTTACTATTATCATTTTAATTCCTATCAAACACCACACATATACAGCAAAACACTATAATATGTGAAAATTAAACACAGCCCAACCCAATAAAATGCCACATAGGCAAAATGCTACAGGTTATATTTGTTACATTCTAAATCAACTCAATAGACTATCCTGTAAACAAAATAGTAAGGTGATACCTCAAAAACAGATGAACATTTAGCCACCAAAATGTACAGTAAGCCAACATCACACTGTGGAGATTCATTTAGTATAATGGTTACAGGAAAAAAGATATCACAAAATTTTACAATCATGTTCTATCTAATAATTCAAATAAGATGGATGGTAGTTTTCTGATGGTGTTTTAACATCCCTACTGATCTTTAATGCTTTATTTTTACTTGTTGATTGGCATGTTTGCTTTGTTTAATATGTTGACTGCACCATGCTTATTGTTGTGTCGGTAGAAGAGGACATATGAGAATATATATAGAAAGGCCATATGGAGGTTGTCATGGAGAGATTCCGATACTCTGTAACTCTGCTGTTCAGAATTTCGACTGAAATAGAAAAAAAAAAGAGAGAGAAAGAAAAAGTGAGAAAATTTTGAAGTATTATTCATGTAGGAGTCAGGTGACTGGTTATTGTTCAAGTTCTGAGAATGAATTATCCCAGCATACACCCTGTTCTGAAATTTTAGATTTGACATCTGTGAAAATGGGACCGATGGTGAAAATCACTACAAAGAAATATAACTGATACATTTATGTCAGTGATGGTGAACTGTTTAGAGAGTGAGTGCCAAACTGCTACCCAAAACCCAGTTATTTATAGCCAAGTGCCAACGCTGCAATTAAACCGGAACACTGAGTTGTAGTTTAGAGAAAACAACTGTACATCAATCTTTAGTCTGAAAAAAAGAAAACACCAAAACACCATGCATGCCATGGGTTCACCATCACTGATCTATGGGAAGCTCCTATTGAGAAGCTAATGTGGAGAAATTCCCTAACAGAGATGCACTCCATTGTTTAAGGCATTTTCTATGCAATGCTGAAACTTTTTGGTGATTATTCACCCATAGTTTCACATTTTTAACAAGCGTATATTGAGAAAACACTTCGAAATATGCCAGTATTAATGAAAATTTACACCTTTTAGTTGAATGTTTTAAAACCATGAAGAAATAGTCTAAGTGAGGTAGACAGATAGCATTGTATAAAATTATATTTTTGATCTTTAAACATTTTCAACACCTATTACAAGTTGAAGTGATTATATTCTGCCCAATACCACTACATTTTCTAATGGAATCAGTAGAAAACAATCACACTTCCCTTGTGTTGTAAAGTTAATTACATTGGACGACTTTTGTTTACCTTGATGTGCAGCATCCTGTGAAAGTCAAGTAATGTTGGATAAAACCTATATTCTCACGTTTAGCACTTTTCACAAGTTGCCACCATCCCAAATGACACTCTTGCAATCCATTACAACGTAATAACTCCTTCCATTATTCCATATACTCAAACATATCTTTTTAAAACATTCCTTATGATGGAGAGGACCCATTTATATCAGTCAGCTACCCACTCTGTCCAAAATAGAGTTCTGGGCCTTGTCCTCAGCAGCACAGAAGGATTAGCTGGGATCCAGGGGTCAAGCCCAATAGGGAACACAACTGCTGCCTATTTCAAACAAGTGATAGACGCACTGCAGGTACAGCAACTTGGCAACGTTCAATAAGTAATGTGTGCAATTCAGAGCTGGGACGCTATTTTAATAAATCCCTAGAATTATGATACACGGGAGCCTGAAGTGGCTTCAATAGACACAATTCCAAGTGAGTGACTTCTCAAATTAGGTGTGTGCTACTCTGGGTCCTGGAGCAAGCCAAGACAAATCAAAGGGGAAGGGAGAAAATGCAAGAGCAACAAAATTTTTTTAAAAACATGATTGACATGAAAATAATGATTAAGTTTCTAAATTATGTCACTCAAAATTGAAAACAGCTAGAGCAATTCTGGTTGACTTATACAGGAAGCAACACAATGCTGTAGACTATGACAGCATTACTTTTTACAACGTCATAGAAAAGACATAATGCTTACTGTCTTTAACATAATCTCCTCAGTCAAATCCTGACAATACTACTTTATTTTATTGCACCAAAAAATAAAGCTATGAAAATGTTACATTCAAAACACATTAGACTTAAAATTCAAAGTAATTTGTGCTTTTGACTAACAAATCCTATCCCCTTGACATTAGAAGAATATTTCAGAATTTGTAAGCTCACTGGGAAAATATAGTACTAGCTGTTGATTCTATATTTTAAAATATATATTGGCTCTGGCATTTTAATTAAAAATTTTGGGATGTATAAATTAAGCTCTAAGCAATGTCTATTAATGAAAATACAAAAGCCTTTAGCAAACACAATTGTCTGAATAAAGTTATAACCTACATTACTAATAGTAATACTTAAACTGACCTACTGGTATCTTCTACATCTATGAAACAAACATGCTGCTCTTCAGTTAATCTATTTTAATGGGGGTATCGACAGTACTAAGTAAGATTTCAGATGAAAAGTTTCATGATTTTTGTATATTTTGTTCACTGCTGGGACATGATAATCAATAACCATAATAAATTTCACAGAAAATTCTAGACATACTATCCATTTCACTAAGTTAATTTTGCAAAGCACAAATTAGCGTGTGGTTTGCTCCCCCGGTGAATTAATGCTGTGTGCTTCATGGTTATTTTGCTTGTAATTTAAACAGCAGTGGAACTTGCAGTCTGTGGGCATGGTTAGAACTTTTAATGAGGCAGGATGGCCATAACATTACTCAATAACTATTGTATGTATTGTCTTACAGTTTCAAGACACCAAAAACTTGTAATTTTCCTGTGACTCTGCCTGAAATACCTACAGGAAATGAAAAAAGCAACATAAGCATATCCAACGTCTACACGAAAGGGATTCTGATGTAATCACCGGTAATGATAAGGATATCTGTGCCTTGGAAAGAAATGCGATGTTTTGCTTTCTTTCCAGTGGATCTGAAAGTAAAGGCGATGATTGTACTAAGTCAAAGTTCAAACACAATAACCAAAAATAGCAGTAAATTAAAATAAATTCTTCTCTTGACCAATGAGGAAGAACTTAATACATATTTGGTACAGTATATGCGTTTGAGGATTGATGTGGTACTAATAATTGGATATAAGGTATGAAGGACATCTGATCATCAATTTAAAATGAATAAACATCTGATTAACTTTGGGATGAAAAAGAAAGTGCACAAAAAGTAAATTAATAAATGTGGCGAATGTTTAAGAAACACTTAAATATACAGACTGATATCTCTCACCAATCCAAAAACATATACTGTGCCTTTTCAACATGTTGTAATCTAGGTCTCAACAGGTGAAATAAATGGTCAAACCTGATTGCCTGTAGTTGTTGCAGCGAAGGGAACGCTGGTGGCAGGTGGTGTTGCTGCAGGCATAGTGGCTGGTGTAGCACCGTGCATCACGGGCACTTTCAGTAGGAAACCACGGAAGCAACTCACGGGAAGGTGGAGGAGCATTTATGCAACCAGGACATATGCAATGATGGAATGGGGCGTGGTAGGTATCACAGCAACAAGCCATGTGACATCATCATGATGGATAAACCAGGGTGCAACATGCAATCACAATCAGTGCAAAGCAACACAGCATGGAAGGGGAAAAAATTAAAAAAGAGAAAACGGGAAAGCCAATTATAGTTATCATTTAGAAAAACGGAACCATTCTCAACATTTAGTAAGTTTTTGAGCAGAATTACATTGCATTTGACTCAAAAGGCCAAATTTTCAGAAAGGGTTACAATGAATGCACATGAAAAAATAATCTGATGCTATCAGGGCTGTCTGAAGCTAATTAAGCAGACAAGTAACTGAGCTGCACATTAGACAGGGGATTATGGAATTGTGAAGTGGTGTTAGGTTTCGCTGACTTATGCACGTAAGTGCCCTCATTAGATTTGCAGGTGTAAAAGGGCAGTTTTATGTATACTTACCTGATCCGCGGGCAAAAATTAAAAGGTAGCTCTATTTGTATGTGGTAGGACAGCAGCTATAAAGAACACAGTGAAGTATATGTGCAGATTTTTATGTATGCCTCCAGAAAATTCCTTGGAATTGTTGGCTCTACATCAAATAGATGGAGTAATTCATGGAGTAGTCCATAGCAAATCTTGCCTCGACAGCAAATATTAGAGCTACAATGGCTAGCAGCTGCAAAATCTCTTTTAGGATGTTTTTCTCTTTGCCTTTTCTAGTTTCTATTTCATTTGAAAGCTTTTGGATGCTTTTCTAATTTCCAGCTCATTTTGGAAAGCCAACCAGGGAATTAATGTGCGAATGGCAATGTGTGAATGGCAAGCATATATATAATAATTTATCATGTCTACATCAACTGAATTCAGATATTCTGAAAATGTACTGAGGAAGTTAATGGTCAGAAAGAGGAAAATCAACATTCACAATGTCATGGGAACCAAAAACGTACCCAAAATGATGCTTAACAGAACTTTTATCATGATTGCTTCTGTTCATCCCAAGTTACATATTACCTACAGCTATCCCTTATTGTCTGATGTGCCAATTTAAAAAACACTCCTGTTTACCCTCTGGGAGTGCAGCAACTGTACAGGAAGTAGCACCACCATGCAAGCATGCAATTTGCATTCCTAAGCAGAGCTCTGAAAGTCAAAGGACAGGGCAGCATCCCCAAGAAATAGGTCACAAAATGTGAACTCAGAGACATATTTCTCAGATTTGTACCAGTCTGTTCTTCTAAAGATGTGCATAGAATCTTCCTTTCAGTATCAATGGAAACGCTGTTAATAGCTCAGTAACAGAGCCTCACCCCTCCACTGTCAGGGTTTAGACCTCGTTAGGTTAGTGAGTGTTGCTTCTACTTGGCCATCTTTTTAACCTTTTGTTTTATCTCAATAGGCCTGTTGGTGCCTTTCAGGCTCTGTAACTACTGTAGCCCAACAATAGGATGGGGGTCAAGCCAAGCGGTTGTAAACGGCCCCAAAAGGATGGGAGGAACCATATCGATGAAATGCTGGAGTGGGTTAGGGTGGGGTCATTCTTCCCTGCACTGAGCAAACCTACTGTCTCCTCATCTTTCCTGGTCCCAAGCAGAATCTGGAGATTTGAACTTCCCACTTGCTTTCTCACCATCTTCAGTATAGTGATGTAAAAATAGCTTAGATATGACTGCCATGTTGTGTCTGTGCCTAACCACAGGATCTGTGCGTTAAAAACCATATAATCTCGCCATTTTAAAAATGATTCTGCTGTGCCTAGTGTCTGCATAGGTGGAAGTTCATCTTAGAATACTGCAAAATTCATTCCAGAACACTGCATAATGTTGTAGCTCTGTTCCAGCCATTCTTTCTCAATATTTGAGTACTGAATGGTTTGGGTAGCATGAACAAGTTTTTGGGGAAAGGATTGTTTCACTGTACTTTATAAATGGTACACTAAAATAGTGCACAATTAAAAAAATAATAGATGTAAACCTAAAAAATAAAATTGTCCAGTTCGGCTTGGCAAAAAAGCATTTATAAATAGTTCATTTGCCAGTTTAGGGCAGAAATAAGAGAAATGGAAGAGTCTGTATTTGGCCACAGTGGCAACCAACTAGGACTTGAGAAAGTATGATGGTTTTGATTCCTTAAAAATGTGGAACACAGAACATCATATTAAAGATTAAATCAGAAAATACCCAGTCACATCAGTCACTCATCTCTTTCACAGCCACAGCAGAGAAACACATTTTTCAGATTAGAAGAAATTGAGAATTTTTGTACAAAACCTACCAAAACTTGTAGCGGGTGCCATGCACAGTATTGGCCCTGTACACCATGCAGAAAAGCGTGGAAAGTAAAGAAAAGAGAGATTTCATTATTGAGGCTTTACAGATAGAAATGAATTTTAACTAGAAAGATATTTTCTTTGCATTATCAATTAATCAGCACATGCAAACCCAGTAATCTCTCATGCTTACAATTACAGATTAGATTTAAGATCACAAAACCCAGTTAATTAAACCAGTTCTTGGATTCTTCTTTTTTTTAAAAAATGAACTTTAATTTTTCTTTAAGGAAATAACCTCACTTGAATTACACATTCATCACACATATTCTTTTCAAAATATGCACCAGGATCTGCTATCTGATGCCTGTTTTTCTACATAGAGCAAGAATCTATTACCACTACCACCTTCACTTCGCTGAAATTGAGGACTCAACAAACCTATGGCAAAAGGCTGTTAAGCGGGGGGGGGGGGGTCTCTCAGGTTTTTTATTTTGCTGTTAATGAACGGAAAGCAGAGTTTTCAGATATTTTTTCATGTAAATCTAGCATTTATGTTCACCAAATCTGGACAGAAAAAGAAAGAAAAGAAAAATAAATCTAACTTCTAAACAAAATACCCAATTGAGAAAACCTATAATGAACAATCCAAACTTTTTCACATTCAACCACCTTGGCTAGGCTTCCTGGATTCTGTAGCTATGAGACGAATGAGATGTAGCCAAGGTACAGGTAAAGTAGCACAAATTTTGAATGGAAAAAAACACCAGAAATAAAAATCACTTCCACCCTCACTGGTTTTCTCTTTTACTTTATGGGCATTACATACTTTCCTCCTGTAGGTTTGGGGGAAAAGTCTAAATTATCAGATATCAGTGGTTCTTTTTTATAGGTAGTATAAAAATGTGCTAAAAAGTTCCATTTTTCCTACTCAGAAAATATTAGATAAATATGAAAACCTTGTGAGATTTAAACCCTGTTATGAAGAACTTTTGTGGTCAGTTAACGAAAGACTTGTTCAAAGTTAATTAGCTGATTCTTTAATTACCCATTTTTCCAGGTTTGAGTATACAATACTATATGCTCAGCATGTTTATATAATGAGCCAAGCTTTCTAACTTAAATTTTGTTTATTTATTTGTTTCCTTTAAAATTTTTTTCTCAGTACTGAGGAACAAACTCAGGACCTTGTTCTTGCCAGGCAGGCGAGGCAACAATGAGCTGAATCCCCAGGACCTCTAACTAAAATTTTGAAACAGATGTTATTCTCATTTAATAAGTTTCCAAACTGGGGCATTTAGGATTTTAGCAAAGCAAAGCAAAACAAAATACCTCTACTATACTTCCAGTAGTAAGTATTTTCACTTTATTCCTAAGACATTTTATGCTTATTCTTAAAGTGCTGAACCACTGGACTAAATTATTGTTGCTCATATCTAATATTTATTTGAATAAAATTCTGAATTAATCTTTCTACTCAATTTGCTGCAAAACTTAAGTTTTGCGATTAAATATAACTGAATGTAGGAGGTAACATTAGATATGCCACGAAGTCTCAGAAAAATATTTAAAATTTTATATTTTTATATTAACTGATTCAAGGGAGGCGAAACGTACCTCTTTTTATCTACTATATTGCATCATACTATATTTACTACAAAATGAATGGTAGTTTTATAATAACTACCTTTGGTATATCAGAGCTACACTGAGTATATGGAGTACTGGGTTTTGCAATACTAAACTGAGATTTGTTTTTTGACAGCTGACCACCACCTGTGAAAGTGATACCCAAGAGTCAAGGAATTAGTTGAGACTGAACCAAATGAATCAATCATAAAAAGCAAAAAATAAGAAAAACTAGAAAGAAAAAAATGCGAATACATTCACCATTAATTTTTTAAATCATAGAACAGTAAGTTGTTCTAGCTACTAGCGCTCAAGCATAATTCCCATATTTTATTTGTAATCAAAACACATGGCAATGGTCTCCAGTATAAAGGCCCCTTAGAAGTTGCTTTGCACTGTACACATTCACAAGCCCCTTTGACTCACGGGGCCCAGAGCCATGTTCTCACCTGCAGGGATAAATGCCGGCTGCGGTATCTGCACGTTAGCCAGACCCTGCTGGCAGTGGAAAACAGCAGGACTAAAGACCGGGGTGGCACCATTGTTCTTTTCAAGGGCCGATCTCTTTGGTATCAGTTGAAGTGCACCAGGCTGTACGGCCTGTGGGGAGGGATGGGTTAATTGCTAGTACCAGAGAAAGTAACAAATGTACTCAAACCAAGCAAGCACCAGTTATTTCAAATATGGCGTGGGAATTTTCTGCAAGGGCATCCATTGAGCAAGACGTATGATAAGCAATGGTGAAGTAACATACTGTTGGGATTAAGTGTAGTCCGTTAAAAATAGGAAACAAAAATACAAAGATAAAAAAGGTTTTCAAATTCCCTAATTTTGACCTCATTTGGACTGTATGTGACAGAAAACTATTAGAGCAAATAACTGACTTACAATTAACATATCAGTGATGCTCAATATTAATCTATAGAAATGAGATTAGCAGAAGCAACAGGAATAGCAGGAAAGATATTTGTCAATTAAATTTCTGACATGGATCTAGGAAATAAATGGTATGTATATAATAAAACAGATATTGGTAGATTACAGCCTGATACTGTAGCCCTATTAATTAAATCTAATGTATAGATCTCAGGTTCAAATCTATTTTTTCGTATTTCCTGACTCACATGTAAAAGCAAATAGATCTTTCTTCCCCTCTCAGTTACCTTACCCATATACCACCTGTGGTAGAGCAAAACTTTTGCAGTTCTCATTTTATAGGCTTGCTGTGGATTTTGGTGCACATCATTTCCTTGGATAGGTCTTTGTAAGGTTTTAGAATGAAACCTTCTCTAATGCCTAGAGTTCTTGAGTTCTTCCAATATCCCACTGTGCTCGCAGTACTCAAACTTGCCCCCAGATCAGATTCGTTGGAGAATTTTACATTTTTACCTTCCATAAATTGAATATTACTTTAAAAACAAGTCTTGGAAACAGGCGTGTTTGAAATTCTTAAGGATACAGGTACGCTTTAGCTAGGTAACCAGCCTTTCATGTGCCATAACCTGTTTATTCCCATGGAAAACAAAGGCCTAAAACTTATCTCTATTTAATTTTTGGGTCTCTGCTGTCAATGTATACAGTGTGAGAGTTTTGCTTTTTATAAAAAGTCTATTTTCATCTCTTAAAAAGTGAAATAAAAATAAACTCAGTAATTTAGCAGATATATAATTTGCCAATTTATCTGGGAAGACCAGATGACAAAGGTCAGGACTAAAATCACTAGCTGTAAAATATAACATCATGTTGTATGCATTTTATTAGCAATGAGGAGAAAAGGGCTTGCCAAAGATTTTAAGAGAGTAGGATTGGAAACTATCCGTCTGGTTATTGAAAAGATTTCCCTTTGGAGCCATGTGTGGGTGACACACATGCCTATAATCCAAGCACTCTGAAAGGCTGAAGCAGGATGATCACAAGTTTGAGCCTAGACTAAGGAGTTTAGTGATTTAGCAATACACTGTCTCAAACAAACAAAAGACTTGAGGATATAGATCAGTGCAAAGGTCCTGAGTTCAATCCCTAGTACAGAAGGAAGAAAAGAGTTCCCTGTGGTATAAATAGAAGGTGCCTCTTTCTCTAGAGTGCCAAGAGAATGGGAGAAAGCAGAACCAAAGCTGTGCTGTCTGGTGAACTACAAAATGGTGTAAGGCCTAGATGCGGCCTATCTTGATATATCAATGCCCAGTTTTAATTTCCAGGCTGATACCATTATTAAATATTTCTCTAATCAACACTGGCAAGGGACTCAACAGCCTCGTCAACAACTCTCTTAACTTGCCAAAGACTAGCTGAACTAAGTATCAATCCTCCAAAATTTTTAAAAACACAATTCAAGTCTCATTGCCATGGCTTGAATGTGTTGGTGGGAATGTGTTAATGCATACAAGCTGCTCTAAACAAAGTCAACTGAGGTATAGCCATGCACAAGGTGAAAATGCCCCCTTCCAAAGCATTTCTACTCTTCATCCCTAAAAATAAAAAAAAAAAAATTAAACTTCTTCATGAAGGCCTTCTTTATTTATTCTTATCTATAAATTCCTATGACCAATTTGACCTTACCACTAAGACCTCACTGTGATCAGTTACTCAGAAAGGAAATTTATTTTGGCATTCACAAATAACAATTGAAGGTATCCAATGTTTAGCTCCCTAAATGGAAACCCGCGGCTGATGTATAATTTATGCCTTCTACCAAACACACCCAAACTATCAGATAAGTGTGAAGACCCCCATGCCTGACTATTCACCTGTGTGCATACAGGAGCACAATGGCATAAGCAAGCTGTTCTTTTTACATTCCATGTGCTTGTCTATCCATTTTTAGGGGGGAAATTGCATTTTGCTCTTTTAATAATTTCATCCTGTTTCTGAAGTCAAGATAAGTAATCAAGAAATTGAACGCCGGGATGGGGATTTAGCTCAGTGGTTCCGTTCCGCTCCCTGCCTCGCACGCACAAGGGCCCGCGTTCGATTTCTGGTACCCAAAACAAAAACAAAACAAAACAAAAAATTGAACGCTTAGCTGGATATTTTGGTACATGTCTGTAGCTCCAGCCACCTGGCAGACTGAGGCATTTGAGCCCAGGAGTTAGGGGTCAACCTGGTCAAAACAGTGAAACCTTGTCTCTTAGCATCAAAGGCTTAAAATGCGCATTGAACCTCCCAGACAACGTGCTACTATAATAGCTTAGAAGTCCTCCAATCGGAAGCATTTAAAACAAAAAATATTTGATGAAGTGTTTTGAAACATTTAACAGATTATGTTGCCAAGCTCAAGGTGAAAGTAAAGTTTGTTTTACTTTGGTGCTAATATCCTTCACAAAGTAATGATCTCAGTTCTGAAAGAGGAAGGGTAGGGAGAAAGTGGAGCCAGTCCAAAAATAGTGCAGGGTTCTTGAAAGCACAGCCTATGGAGAACAGGTGGAGAAATCTGAGTTGTTTGCCTTAGAGAGGAGACATGAGAGGTCACTCATATGCAGAGTGATAAAGAAATATGGTAAATATTTAAAAATTTTTAAATTTATTATATTAAAAGACTGTTGCCATTATTCCCCCTCAAAACATTCCTCCTTGCCTTGAACACATTGATCCCATGGTTCTTGTCACTTTCTGAATAGTTTCTGAATTCCTCTTTTATATGTGTCTTTCCTTGTACTGCCTCGATATCCTGAATTGATTCAACACATTTACCTTTCATGGTCATTTTGACTTTGAGGAACGCCACAAGGTGCCAGATCTGGCGAATAAGGTAGATGGAGACAGACCATAATGGTTTTACTTGACAGAAATCGCCACAAACATTTTGAATTGATTCAGGGCATCAAGGTAGCCATGAAAAGGTACTCAGAAAAGAGGACTTTGAGAACTGCTTCAGAAAGTGCCAAGCTTGGGGGAGTAAGTCTGTTTAAAGCAGGGGGAGATGTTCTGAACAGTTTTAGTGGCAATGTGTCTTATACTGTAATACAATTTAAAATATGTTTTGGTTTAGACATTTGAATTTATCACAGAAGTTATGGGATAGGGGCTGACATGTTCTATGAAGCTCCAGTTGCAATAAGGTAAGTTTCAATTCAGTATGAGGAAAATCTTCCTAATAGGGATGTTTGAAAAGAGGTATAATTCTTTTGTAAAAGATAAGATCTCTGGCATAGCAATCTGAACGATATGTGCCAGTGAGGGGATTGTGTTCACAATGCATTTTTTTTTTGAGACAGGGTCTCACTATGCAGTGGAGGCTGGCCGAGAACTCACAGCAATCCTCCAACTTCAAGCCTCCTGAGTGCTGGGATTATAGATGTGCACCACTATGCCTGGCTTTGTACTGTTATTTTCTGGGCTTCATGATAAGGTAGGTACTTTTCTCACAGACAGCAAGCATAAGGCTTCCTTAAGGTTTCTGTCCCTTATTGAAATGTTATCACCTATTATATGAGGAATATTCCAGGTCGCAAAGTAAATCATCACACAGATCATCAGCTGTGATACACTTGAGTAATCCTAAATCCCTTTCACAGTGCAGTGGTACCCAAATATTATTCCAACTTCCTGTCTTTAAATGTTTTTAAGCACAATAAACTTTTACCCAAAGGTGACTTGCTAGGAAAACTCAAAGCTATGCCTCTTCTGCTCATCCTGTAGAAATTTCCCCAGCTCCCAGAGCCTTTGCAGGTTTTGGCCTTTTGTCCTCCCCTCTGACGGAATAATGCTTCCAGAAAGGAAAGGTACCCTTAACCTTTGGGATAATAGGCCCTACTTAATATACCATCCTTCAAGCGCTTTGTTTTCAAAAGGCATTAAGGATGTCCGCAGCAAAATGTACTCATGGAAGCGACTCACAGAGCGCAGAGGTAACTTTCTGCTTTTCTCAGATATTAAGAGTAGTTAGACTCTAATAACCACTCAAGAATGTTTTGCTACTTAAGTCATATAATTTACTCTTTTTCTGAAAATGGTAGAAAGCACAGTGGGCTAAAATCATTAATAAAGCTTTTAAGTAATTATCTTTAGAAAATCTTAGTAAATAGGTTCTATCTTTTCTAGTTTATAACCTTGATTGTTCATCTTAAGTTCCCTTTAAGACTATCCAACAATACGGTTACAGAATATTAGACAAACTGGAGGACGCACTAATCATTTCCCCTAATATAGAGAGCCCAAGAGTGCAGGTCTTTCTTACCATCGCGGTGGCACCAGAATGGTTCACCTGGTGATGAGCAGCCTTGAGTTTGGCTTGCAAATGTGCAGGAGGATGAAAGTACTTGCATTTCTCCCTGGAGCAGCGACCTTTGATGTAATCCATGCAGATAGTCACAGAATTATCATTTGCATCAATCATAGAAACATCTGTAGGGTGAGCGTAGCGGCAATCGTTCTCCCCACGGGTACAATTTCCACGCTGAAATTCACGGCACACCTTAAAGAGGAACACACAAACACCCACACACACACACACACATATCACAATGTGACTGGATTTTATTTACTATGCCAGTGGTTATAAGAGTAATCATACACATTTTGTCACTTATTTCAGAAAAAATGTAAAAAGGTGAAGGATAATCCAAAGCCATATTCACTATGAGATGTAAATAATTTCTATTTCTAGAAAAAATAAATTTCTATTCTCCACAAAGGGAAATTTTACAACACACACACAAGTACTTAGGAGTGTTACTGAAAACCAAGTTTAATCCAGCAGTGTAATTAGATTTTGTTAAGGGCCAAGATGAGTCTTTTATCACACGGTAATACACTGGTGGTTTTCCACAGCCAACTTGTGAGCCATGCTTGAGTTACAGGTACAATCAGATTCCATCACAATACGTTACCAGGCTTTTGAGAGGCTGCCAATGAAGCTGACTTTCTAAGAAATGGACTAGTTATTTATTTCAATGTATAAAGAATGACAAAGGAAAACTAAAGGACTTCAAGGAATCAAAAAGCTGCTTGAAATTTCCTTTAGATT